AATGTACTGGAACTGCCAATTTGCTCCTGTAAATAATTCACCAAGTTTAAGGGGATCTCAGAAAGTTGTCGCGATTAATTTAATTTATTTAGCTTTGCTAGAGGAAAGAGGAAAAAGATTCTGTAGCCGGGTTTAGTTCATTATTCTTAGGATAATCAGATAATTGCAAAAGGATGAATAAGTTTTTGACGTTTCGTAGAACTCTTGTTATTTACTATAACAGTGGGGTGCCTTGGGGTTTACAGGTAATTTTATCACAAAATCAGTTTGTCTCAAACTATATGTACATACGTAATATAGAGATTAAAATAAATAAAAAATATTGGTTTTAAAATAAATGTATAAGACATTTGAAAGCGTTCATACTTAAAAAATGGAATAGGTATAGAATATTTTTTTAACTTATTTTATACATACATATAATAAAAGAATAAATAAATAGCTCTTTGCGTCAAACGAATCAGTCAATAAAATATGACAAGTCTTGACAAGTCGTAAATTTTTCGAATTCCAATCGAAATGACTGAAATTTATATGTTTTTGTTATGTCATAATCAGCTAGATTACGACTCAACTTATGCTTCCGTGAAGGGAACAAAAACTTAAAAAAAATTATATTATCTCTATAACTAAAAGGTTTTTGAAAAAATATAGACAAAAGTTATAGCAGTTTCTGATGGCTAATTGCGTGAAAATTATGGCACTTATTTCTAGGACTGCCTGTATGTAAATGCAAAAATTGAGTTATTTATTGGATTGTTATATATTTTTTTGCCATTATCACTTTGATTACAATAACAAACTGACGCTCATAAATTATTCATTATGAATTTTTAAATCTGATATTTCTATATTTATTTCTCATGTATGCAAAGTTTTATTCATACAAGCAATAACTTTACGGCACTTTGGAGTGAAAATATTTAAGTTAAAGAACATATGTCGCTGAACCGTCTGTATAAAAATTTTATTCGCTAGGTTACATTTTGTTTTCAACCTCAATAAATTGGGCATGCAAGTGAGTGGGTAACAACACAGTTGTTGAAATACACGATTGTATTTGAGTAATATGAAGCTATCAATACAGGGTCGTTTGATTTTTACTGTTTAAACTGTAGAGCTGTCAAATAACAGTTATAGTTTCTTTTATCCACTATATTCGAAAAATGTTTACTTCTTTTTGGTACGGAGTGTTGAGGTTTCCTTAAGAAAATATTTTGTCCTGAATATTTTCCAAACGTTTCGTCGCAGAAATTTTACATAATGTTTTTGAAGTCAAATAAACGTTTTTTAAATGCAGCTTCATTTAAATTTTATCAATGTTGCAGGAAAGTCGTAAATGAGACACTTAAAATTTCAGTTAAATGCTGTTAGGTGTTAGCAAATGTTAGATGATAAGAATAAATAAGCTTTGTACATATAAAAAAATTAAATTAAATTGACTGTCAGTCAAAAATATTCGGGAAGATGCGTGATGTTTTGATGTGTATTTTATAATTTGACTGTTTCTTCAATGCGAATTATTTTCTTAGGCAAATCTAGTTTTATAAAAGTAACTGTTGACTCATGATTTTCTAGATTTTCTTTCTTCGTCTTTGTTATTTACTAAAGCTGCCTCTTATTTCATATTTTTGCTTTATTAAACCGATATTTTATAAAAAAATTATACATTCTTTGAAAATTTACAGCTATTTTGACACTTAACTACCTTTGACAGAAAAAAAAAGCAACGCATATTTTAAAACGTTCTTAAATTAATTGACATATATCCTATTTCTCTTTCAATCTTTTTATGAACAAATATTTTTATTTTAATAGTTTTCTGTATTATTTGTAATTTTGTTTGCTCTGAAAATAGAAAATTAGATGGTCACTTTTTTGATCATTTCGTCAAACTACAAAACTTTGTGGTCTTATCTGCTAGAAATTAATTTGAAATATGCACGTTACTTTTGCTGTTCTTTGTGTTCTTTGTTGTCGATAAAAATATGAAACGGTATAATTTATAACATTATCCCTGTAGTTTCTAAACTATTATAAAGACTAGACACTCATTTATAAGAAATATTATTATGTGGGTATACCAGATAATAGATGGGAATTATATAACTTGGAACTTGAAACGAATACCAAATTAATGTCGATACTACCAATTCTCAATAAATCATGATAACCAGAATTGAATCGGGAAATATTCTAATAGGTATATCTGTTTCTAAGCGGTGGGTTTATAAATCATAGCGGGCCAATGAATAGGTGAGGTTAATAGGTTACAGTTTTCCTATAAACATATGACCCAATTTCTCATGTTTCCGTAACTTTATACTTAAAACTGTTGTTTTAAAGTTTAAACTTTAAAACTGGAGTATATGATTTAAAATTTAATTACTCACGGTTGAAATCTACCATAGTAGTAATTTTCTAAAACTAGCGGAAACCAAGAGTATAGTTCTGATTAGTCAAATATTTCGCTTTCGTAAAGTTTTGAAGAAATGAAGAAGATGCAGCTGCAGTCATAGACAATGCAAGTTTCCACAGTCGACAATTAAATAAACATCCCCGTTGAAAGGATGCGAATACGGTCATACAGGCCATGCTGGATTATATTTATGTATCAGAATGATAAAGGATCAGGCAGAATTTGAATTATGCGCCACTTTCGTTCCCAAGAGTTGGCAGCATTGTGCACGGTACTATGCTCGTTTCGATCAGAGAAAATGGCGCGTTATACTAGGCATGAACGAGTGAAGATTGTGTTAATTAATTACAAGTACGGAGAGTGTGTAGTTGAGACTGTGCGCAAATTACGTGGGAACAACTGTGAATGGATTAGTCTCCAAATTTGAACAAATAGGTTCGGTTACGGACAATATTGCTACGGTGAGACATAGTGTGGAGGAAATCCCCGTAACTTCAATGCACCGTCGCGTCGGTCCTCTGTAATTAAACATTTCAAAAAGCATAATGCAGAGGATTTTCACAAAAATTCTGGAAAGCAATTTTCTGCTAACGTTTATGGAATCCTTTAGTCTGACGTCATAAGCAAAGGAGGATAAATCTACGCGAGTATTTGCATATTTGAAGAGGTGTGCGATTTTTAATTCAATATTTGAAAGATTCTGCACCCAATTATTAATATGGGTCCAAGCCTCACGCGAAATTATTCATGCGGCGCTTCGACCTCGATGTCCCTATTATATCGACGCCTATGACGTATTCAGCAGCGCCAGCGAGTATCTGCTGCAATCGGCGCCAGTCCTCTATTCCAGTTTAACAAGGTCTCGGGGATGCCTATTCTGGTACGAGGCTATAATGGAATATTTATTGGTAGCGGCACTAGTGACAGGAAAGATGATTGAAGAGTGATAATAAATTTAATAACCGGAGACGCTTTCCGGACGATAATAAGTTTTTACTAAACTAGTTTCCTAATTCTAATCTTTCGGATACAGTATAATTTTGTTCCAGTTAATGAATCCATTTGAAGGTTTTCACTGACTGAACTTATTTTTAATACAAAAAATCAAGTATGGAGGAGAAAACAGTTGGTAATTCTCATAGTGTCCATAATTTTTCAGTAAACGGGATAATTTCCTTCTGTTTTAGTTATGACAATACATATACGTATATAACTAAATTTTAATGATGTAATAGATTGCTACTATGTAGTATATGTATATCCATTACTTTAATTGCACATTATTGAAGTAACAAATAGTGCACATCTCTGTAAAAGGTATGCACTAAGTGATTGATGACTTGATGCTTAATTAATTTTTGGCTATGTTATGACAGCCGAAATAAAACTTGCGGCATTATTTCCTACTAAAATTATCTCCCTAGTATCTTTTTACTTGTATTGGATAACAGTTGTATGGTATTTGAAAATTTTTAGAAAAAACAGGGTTGTTCATATAAAATACTACACCCTTACTTTACCCTAAGACCGTCACTACCTTCATTAGCAAATATGTGTTATCGGGTGCCTGAACGAGAAAATCGTTGACTTGTTCTCTTGTAAAAACGTTTGACTTTTTAGGTGTATAGCCGTCATTCTTACGTTTTAAAAATGCTCTCAGCATAGTGTATTTTGATATATCCACGTTCTCCTTTAGTTGACTTAACCATTGAGTGTTCACTCCAGAAACGCCGGTGACTTTAATGTTCTTGACTTCTCCATGAAATATGCTAGCAGTGATGTTTCAGAAACACCAGTATTTTTATTCTAGCACCATTTTTTGAAATGAAAACGAAATCTCCTAGTTCAAAAATGAATTCATTTTTTTTATTGTCTGCAACCGAATTTATTCGAATTTGACAACTAATCTTTTCATAATTGTTTAGTTCGGGGCGTTACTTCTACAGAAAATTCCACGGAATTTGCACACAGTCTCAGCTACACACTCTCCGTACTTGAAATGAATTTTCACAATATTCACTAGTTCATCCGTCGTATAGCGTTCCGTTTTGTCTAACGCTTCGGAATGAAAGTGGGGCACAATTCAAATCTTACGTTACTTTTGGGATAGCCTTTATATGTTTTAAGAATATCGATAAAAGGCGTTAATAAAATAATTGTTTTTTACTTGAAAACGAAGGGTCCTACGACAAAAATTAAAAAGTAATAAAAACTGTGCAATGCCACGAAAATCTATAATGATCACAGTATCACTGTATAAGAAACGGTTCTTAGTTTTAACTCTCACATAACAAAGCTGCGTGTGCTTACGCTTACGATTTGATATATTGATCGAAGTATGTGTGATTAAGAAGTAAATATATACTATTCCAGTTAGTATTTGCAAAGCCCATACCTAAATAGCTTTAAATATTTCATATAATTGGTTCTTTAAAAAGGATTAGGTCGACGGATTGTAAGGGCATCTCTATAAAAGAAAACCAACCGACCGACCTTTTACTGTTATTTAATCAGAAAATAAGACATCGTTCATGGATTATTACGCGCCCTTAATTCAACCACATTCGATTTCACTTTTTACCTTTCGATCCCCAATTCTATTTTGTAGTCGTCGTTGAGCTCGTAGAATCCCAGACATAAAACTGACCATTGGACGGTAAAAGATCCTAATAAAAATGTAAATCCCACGGAGCTATATCCATAGCGCTTTAGGAATGCCATTAGGAAACCAATGCCCATAAATATCATGACGTGGACATCTTGGAACACTGAAAAAATAGAAGGGTTTTCAGTCACTTGCTGGCACGAATGTTGGTTGCGCTTTAATGTGCCTACCAAGAAAATAATTTCTCTACACACATTTCTAAAGTAATCAAGGTAATAATAACATACATTCGGCTCTTCAACGGATAAAGTTTTCGAAAATATAGGACATGCGCAGTAAGAGTTCTTTGTTGCACCTGTTTATTATATTAGATGACAGACATGTAAAGTGTCGTTGCTGGTATTCATTCTGGTTGTGAATAATTATACAAAACAAATTACAATAAATCGATTTACTTCAAAAAATGGAAGATATCAATACCGTGTTAAAATTTTTTATTTATTACCACTTCATCCGAAAATATTAGATATGTAAAGACATAAAAAGTTTTTTACATTATAGGCAATTTGAAAACTAAATATAGCATGTAAGTCTAAATCTGAGCTGACAAAAATTGAATTTAATATAAAAAGTCTATTGGATATTATTTGTACATAATTTTGGTTTGTTTGCAAGCACTAGACTGTCTACGATACCAAACTGAAAGCTAAGATTCGTATAACGCGTACTTGCAATCCCTTGGTTCTGGTTAATGACCTGTGGATGACCAAAGTTGACGTTCAGTCACACGTGATAGTTCCGTCAGATTTTCATTGTAGATTTTGAATTTGGGTTGTCTTTACTGAGGCAATCTTAGTTTGTCATTAGAGGTAGTTCGCCTTTTGGTTTTAAGGGGTTCAACCGTTGGATCCTTACATCAGCATACATCAGTATAAAAGACAAACGTTCAGTCTTGGTCATTGAAATACACCCGCAATATCTAATAAACACATCATTTGGTGATTATTCATTATATCATTTACGTCAAATTTTTATTTCTTAAGGGATACCTAATTGCAATATTAGTAACAAACTTAGTTATTGAACAAACGAATCTTTTTCCTATAACTTAACGGTTTACGGTTGCTTAAAAGCACAGATCCTCATTTTTATGCAAACAAAGTTTGAAATCCATAAAATTAGTCTAACCGTCTTGATAATGAAGCGCGATTCGTGAAAAAGTTGAAGGGAATCCTTAATATACTCTGATTTGTTCAAATCTTGTCTCGCAAACTTTCAAATTTCACCAACTCCATCAGATTGGGCGCAGTACGAGCGACAAATGTATAAGGACTTCTCAACATTTTACTAGGAGAACTTCCTGAATTGCTACATAGTTTTCTAAACTCCAATTTCCGTGTATGTCTTCCGTTATTATGATCGACGTATTTGTGTACCTCTGAGAGATATTTCTTACTTCCTCGTGCCCCAGCTTCAAAGTCAAATTTTATAACTAGGTAGCAAGGGTTTGCCGCCTTTAAAGGTGAAAGTAAAGGATATTTATTGTGGCCTTTGAATATGATTTATTATCATTTCCAGACTGCTTTTGTCAAATTAGAATGCGGGTCCCTTGTTTATTTTATCTGGTATATGTATATGAACGATATATGGCTGTTATACGTATATTTGTAAATTTTGGAATTTAATCCATGAAAGTAGATCGAAAGTAATCAAAATTCATTGGTGGCAAGCAAAAAAACGTACCGTCATACAGGGCCGAACTCTGGCAAACTTTAATTGTAGAATTTATGTTACAAAACAACATAATAATTCCTATAAATATTTGTTCAGAAACGAATCATTTTCGAGATAGACCAAGCAAGTTATTAGCTAACATTTCTATTTAAACAAATAAGTGAGGAAAACAGTTTTTTCAATTTGCAGGGAAACCCATCAATTTTAGCGAAAAGTGATTCGCAGACAGCTTATAGGGAGTAAAATTATCTACAAAATGAGACTTGTTAAATTAAAATCGGTTAATAAACAAAAAAGTTATTTTTTAATTTGTTTATAACTATCGCATTTATTGATAAAATTTTATAAAACCTATGACAAGCTGAGGGTATTGTCATACTCCAAAAGTGTGCCAAAAGTGGGTGCTGTAGGTGCAATAGTTTTCGCACAATTCAATTTGTTTATAACGGAGGCTCCAAAAGTTATGAACTTTATGCCTCTGTACAGGCGTTAATTTTCAACCAAACATGATTCTGAAAGCGTCAATGTAATCTTAAAGACGTAATTAAGCGACCTATAAAAAATATCACCGCTTTTTTAACATTCTCAAATTGTGCATTAAAAAACCGTGCGTTTTTCGCTTATAAACAATTTGAATAACATTGTTGCTGTTTACGCTATCTCACCGAAAATAGATGCAATGGATAGCTGGCAAAAAATACAGTTTTAAAATAAAAAAAGTACCCTCTACGACCAACAGGAGCCAAGATAAGATTTTTTTTTAATCATAGCGCAATTGTTTATAAAATTAATACTTGAATTTTTCACAAAATACAGTTTACGACGTAAACTACGATTTCCCGTGAATTGCATTGAAAAATGTGGAAAATTAACGACTCACGAGCCCTTTAAAGAGAAGGTACTCGCTAAGAAAACTGTCCGGCGGCCGGCGGCGTGGTGGTGGGGGAAGCTCGTCCAAGCGGTAGCGCGCGCGAGAAAAGTTCAAATTGATGCGCGCTGTAAATTTTGCAATATCTCGGCTTTTATTCATCGTCGAAACTTATTTTTTTTATAAAGTGGGGTAGCTCGTCGAAAAAATAATAATGGGCATATTTACGAATTCGTAAAATAGCCCTGAACCCCAGAAAAAATGCATCTTTTATAATAATTTTTTTTTAATTTACAAAAAAGTCACAAAAATTATTGTTTAACGAAATATTAATTAAAATTTCAATTTCGGAATTATTTTACTATTATTAAATAAATATATGAAGCTATCGTTCATTTAAAAAGTTATTTTTTTTACATATTAAGGCAAAGTAAACTTGTTTTTTCAATATTTTGTTAGCTATTTAATTACGATTTAATTGTAAAATTAAAGTGAAAATTCATAAATTATTTTCAAAGAAATGTTGCTATATCTTAAAATTTAACAACTTTAGGTGGAACTTGAAGTGGATTGATATGTGAATAAAATAGAACAATAAAATACAGGGTGTTCCATTTGAAAAATTTTAGAAAATCAAGTTTGAATTTTCTAAAGATGATCGAATTATAAGAAATGCCCTGTATACAATATATTAGCTAAGGAGTCTATTAGGAGTCTTTACCTAACATTTGTCTACAACTATGTCAAATATTTTTGTTCCAAGTGTTGGTAGTTGAAAGTTAATACAACTTCTTCCAGGTCATGTTTTTTCCAAAATTCGAAGAATATTCTACTTGGCAGCCCCGCACTAAAATGCTAAACTGTTTATCTTGCCATATATAGAATTTTCTCAGAAATCCATATGATTAAAAATATACAGGGTGTTCCAAAAAATGTAATATTTGGCGTGTCCCGTTTTTACTAATCGCCCTGTATGTTTAATTTTTTTTTCTTTAGGTTTTTTGATTCTGTACAACTTTTATATAAACTTTTTTTCTGTATTATGAATATCAAGGGAGTTATTCTCGGTCGTGCGCGAGGTTTTTGATCAGAATTTGAAACGTTCAAGTTAATTTTTTTTAGTCTGTTTGAATTAGCTTGATACCTTTTATACATTGAGTAAAATATCTGTTGAAACAATGTTGAATGTATTACAAATCTTCAAAATTTCTAGATACAAATATCAGTATCACCTCAATTTTAAGAATATACTTGTGATATTCATTTTTAATAGCTCTATAATTGACTTGACGCAATTATAGAACCACATATTTTTGTTCGATTTAATCGGTTTTGACCCTTTTCAAAAAATCGCAATTTTCTCAAAAAACGGAAGGTTTCTCGAAAAAATGACAAGAATAAAAAAAAGTGTAAATTTGAATTTGATATTAAACTTATTAGACCTTAATTAATACAATTTTAAGGGTGACCTACCCTTAAATCACCCCTTCTTAAGATGCCGGTCACTTCAAGTTTGTACCAGCTAAAGACGTCAATAAAATAAATATATTTACAAAATTTGGTTGTTCTGTATTAAGGCATTGATGTAATACCGAGTCTTTCGATTTTTTTAACATATCTTTTGAGGCCAATATCTCCGCAACTGTATGTGAAAAAAAATTCATATGAGAAATCAACTTGTTTTGGTGACCTCTACACGCACCTGTGCTATGTCCATTGAGTTGTGAATCACCCTGTATAATAAGTTCTAAAAAAGTTATATTTAAAATGTATATTTTTGTGAACTTATTGCTTCATTGATTGAAAAATTCCTTTGAACCGCAGCGTTACATACAAATGCAAATATAATGCAGTTATTGAATGATTATACCTAATAATGCAGAGCATTATTAGTGGTATTCAAAGGAACATTGTAATTTTCTACTTCTACATGGACTAGAAAATTATTAGTGAATTACGGAAAAATACCATACGTGTGTAATAATCCTTAATCACGTTCTTATCCTGGTTGAATCCGCCGAAAACCGGGTCGATGGAATTCCAGGCATACGAGGCGTTCGCCTGCGGTGCATATTCCACAAAAGCCGCATAAAAAATGCACAGGACCCACTGGAGACACAACAATAGCAAACTAGTTTTTAATCGTTCGGTAGCAAGCGCGCTTTTCGATGTAGCGTAATTACCCGGAACGAAACTGAAACAAGACATTTTTTTGTACAGCGACATGAGAGCTAATTTCCAGTTTGACAAAGGCTCCTGTTTACTATCGCCACTTATTTACAACAAAATGGACGGTGACATATTTGTTGTTTAACTTTTGTCGTTTGAACTGCAGGTCACAGAATATGCATAGCTTTTTGTGAAACCAGAGTTTTAGTATAAAGCGATGCAAATATACCCGTGGGATCGTATGAATATTTTAACCTTACAGCTTCTTTTTTTATTTTGTTTTGAAATAATTTGGTGTTACAAATTAGTTGAAACTTTTATATTAGCTTTTAGAAGAACAAAAGAAAGAAAAAATATTATCATTAAGTGAACTTATTTGACTATATAAAGAAACGTGGAGGAATGATTATTAAGTACATTATTTAATACGTCTTTGAAAATCTGATTAGTGAATATTTTATACGATTACAAATATTATTCGTATTCTCGAATACAGTATATACAACACACTTTTTTCCGATTTGCACGCATACGACACGGAAGGAAACGGCTAAGTTGGAAACTGACAAATCGATTAAAGTTAAATTATGCGCAGGTTGGATATACAGTGTGTATCAGCCAAATAGAATAAATTTAATAATAAATAAACGGGGGCGTGTTCGAAAAACGCTCGGACACGTCGATTGGTATTTTTGGATGCGCATTTTTTTTCAGCAAAAGCTTTTCTTACAGGGTGTGTCATGTACCAGGGGTCAATACCAAGTTTCTTTTTTTAAATACAACACTCTGTATATTATTAAATTTTTGGATTCTTCAGAAAATTTTAGACATATTTCATGTACAGGCTGGTCCATTTTCGATGGGAATTCAGGGTATTTCAGCAACTACTAAAGATATGATAAATCTGACACGACGTTCTCGAGCTCGATTTTCATGGCAAACTCGACTGTCAACTAACTTCTGAGTTACAGGGCGTTTCTCGTTATTGTGACACTTTTGAACATATCTGTACCTCAGCTGTTAAATAAGTTAGAGTTAAAGTGAAAACTGCCAAAGACTAATTCTTCAGCGTAGAATTGAATGTCGGTATTAGATTTTTAGTAGAGCTTAAGATTTCGGATTTATGATCCAGATATATTTTTTTAAATGGAAATCGTAGGTGACCACCTCCTAAAACAATAAATTTTTTTTCGCTTTTTAGCAGTATATCACATGCTATAGTTATTTTTACAAACACGGGAGATACGGGGTGTTTTATATACAGGGTGTTTCATAATATATGCGCAGGACTTCAGGATGTGATAGCTCGTCCAAAAATTTGAAAAAAAATTGTATTAACTTACCCTCTAAAATGCGCAATTTTCGAGATACAGGGTGTTGAAATTGTAAAAAAAATTCGTTTATCGTACAGAAAACAGCTTTTGTAAGCATTTACTACTCATAATAAGCTATGTTATGTGCGAAAAAAAATATTTTTTTCAGTCATAATTTGTGAAGATTTTGAAGGGGAAGTGGGTGTTTTTCTCCCCAACTTCTACGCCACTAGAAAAAGTACGGTTTTGAGACGCCCATTTGAACCGCCAATGTTTTCTACACAAAAAAAGTACTCTTGGTCATAAGCTCTAAAGTTGACCGTTTTCGAGAAAAATCTACTTTTATGTTGAAAAACATGGTCAATTTTTTGAAATAAAATTTTTTTACTAATTAAACAAAATTTATTTAATCGTTAGAACAAGTAACAAAACCAAACGTTAACTTCATAGTTGCAAAATTTAAAAAAAAAAAAATCGTACACAGTTAAATTAAATGTTGGAAATGTCCTCCGTTAGCTTCAATGCACGCAGCAATTCTTCGACGCATTGACTGTCTAACACGCAAGAAAATTTCCGGAGTGTTCCGAATTATGTCGCAAGATGCAACAATGCGTTCTCTTAATTGATCAACATTTTCAACTGGAGTAGCGTAGACTAGGGTTTTGAGATGGCCCCAAAAGAAAAAATCTAAACAATTAAGTTCGGGAGATCGCGGGGGCCAAGGGTGGGGACCTCCTCGACCGATCCAACGGTCTTGGTATTCGTCGTCCAAGTATTGGCGAGCAACCAAACTAAAGTGGGCCGGAGCTCCATCATGCATAAAGTACATGTTTTCTCTTACTTGAAGCGGTACATCTTCCAGCAGTTCCGGCAGTACTTCTTCTAGAAATTGTCGATAATCTGCACCGTTTAATCTGTTCGGTAAAAAATGTGGGCCTATCAAATGATCACCGACGATGCCAGCCCAAACATTCACGGAAAATTGTTGCTGATGATTGCCTTCTGCAATTTCATGTGGATTTTCTTCAGCCCATATGTGGTTATTGTGAAAATTGAAAATACCATCTCTCGAGAAAGATGCTTCATCGGTAAACATAACTTCGGCTCCAAACTGAGACATGACATTTTCCCATAGTCGTTGGTGAATGAGTTGAAACAAGTTATGATGTGGTACTTGGCGATCACGATGTCTTTCTTGATACAACCGCCTTGCTTCTGCCGAATTACCGTTCGCCATTCCGTAAAGGTAATGCATTTCGCACATTTCAGCGTTTGTGTAATTCATTTTTACTTTTGTAATACAAATTGACTTTTCGCAGGTACAAACTAATTGTTATTTTGACAGGAGGTAGCTTTTGTTTTAAAATTTAAAGCCTACTTGATAAAAAAAATTATAATACATTTAGTAAAATAAAAATTTTATTTAAAAAAATTGACCATGTTTTTCAACATAAAAGTAGATTTTTCTCGAAAACGGTCAACTTAAGAGCTTATGACCAAGAGTACAGTTTTTGTGTAGAAAACATTGGCGGTTCAAATGGGCGTCTCAAAACCGTACTTTTTCCAGTGGCGTAGAAGTTGGGGAGAAAAACACCCACTTCCCCTTCAAAATCTTCACCAATTATGACTTTGAAAAAAATTTTTTCTCGCACAGAACATAGCTTATTATGAGTAGCAAATGCTTACAAAAGCTATTTTCTGTACGATAAACGGTTCCGGAGATATTCGCAAAAAACGAAATTTTTTTTACAATTTCAACACCCAGTATTTCGAAAATTGTGCATTTTAGAGGGTATGTTAATACAAACTTTTTTTCAAATTTTTGGACGAGCTATCACATCCTGAAGTCCTGCGCATATATTATGAAACACCCTGTATAACACGTTGCTAAGGCCAGGCGTTTTAAATAAAAGTTTTTTTTATTTCATATCAGTAAAAAGGAACGCTGAAATGGTTTTTGCTTATTTTCTCATTATCAACAGCTAAATGGGAAATAAGCATTGAGTGTGTTGTAGCGAATTTCTATAATCAAATAATTTTCTTTTTTTAATGTTAATTTTTGCAAGAAATCTGAAAACACTTAATATTGCCGAAACAGTTGAAGATAGGTACAGGACGTTGTACATGAAATATGTCTAGAATTTCCTGAAAATCCAAAAATTGAATAATATACAGGGTGTTGCATTTAAAATAAGAAAATTAGTATTGACCACTGTTACATGACACGCCCTGTATAAAAAGTTTTTGTCGAAAAAAATGCGCAACTAAAAATACCAATCGACGTGTCCGAGCGTTTTTCGAACAGATTTATTTATTATTGAATTTACTCCATTTGGCGGATACACACTGGAGAGTATGGAGATATTGCCTTTGTATATAGGTATTCCAATGGGGACGCCAGACAAGCAGCCCGAAAATACCGATGAAGGTACATCAACCTGCCTATATAGTTTTTAGTGCATCACTTTGTAGACCTCGAGAAGAAGGTAACTCCACTAGAAAATGAAGGAGATCTAATAGATGCTATCATTGACAACTCTTCAATTAGTGTTTGGCGTATATCAAGTAATCTTCATTTATTGCCGAATTTTGTATGGCGTGTATTGAACCGAGAAATGTACAAGCGTGGCATGCTAGATATGCTCCTTAGCGATTAGATTTTGTCGCTGGTTACTTCAACAACATATACAAAATTAATTCGCTTGTCATGTGGTTTGATGAAACGTGTTTTACTGGGGACGCCATAAATAATAATCATAATGAACATATCTGGGCGTTACAAAATCCGAATGCAGTTAGATCAAGACGATTTCCGCACCATTTCAATGTCAATGTTTGGGATAACATTTTCAACAATAATTTACTACTGCAGACCTGTATTTTTCCGGTTACATTTCGTCAATCTGAAACCGTGAAAATATTTTAATGCAATTTCAATGTGCGTAATTGTACCTAAATTATTTGCGTTTCCGTTATTTAATATAGTTAATTAATATCGAGTGAATATATTTGTAGAGGTATTTTACAAATATGTTATTAAATAATTTGTTTAGAATTTCAATTTAGGTAGGTAATAAATATTAATTTAAAGGTAATGCATTGGCATTCATTCATTCATTCATTCATTGGAACAGCCATTTTGCGAATCTAAATTTTTGCATTATAAGCTCACTCATAAGCTCATAGTTAGCTGTTATTACTGCAACATCAAATATAAATTATTATTAAAACGTAAATGAACCCCATGTTATGAGTGAACTATCCGAAAATTCAGTCCTATCCTACCCACATATACAGGGTCGGAAAGTCCCCATGGTTCATCGGCCGTTACGTGAGAGCGATAAAGAAAGTCATAGAAATCCCTGCGATAGAGAAAGATCCACTTCTTATTTGTGGAAGGGCGAAATGGGCGGTGACTATTAGACGCCTTCATTATAGCCATCTTTCTCTATCGCACGGATTTCTATGACTTACTTTATCGCTCTCACGTAACGGCTGATGTCTTTCTATGTCTTTCTTTCTATGTCTCACAAATTTGATATTACTTCGAAAAGTGTTTAACTTAGTTTTCATCCGGTAAAAAAGCGCAGATGAAGGCGCCGTCTATGAGTGGCCACACCGATAGGAACAACAAACCAATTTTTATAAAATTATTTTCTTATAAAGTCATTTATTTTTAAATGCTGTTGTTTAAAAAATTCGGGTTAATGCT